TATATGCCCTATTTATTTCCTTTCCAGAATTATCAATTACCGTTTGCTGAATATTTTTTTTTTAGATGTTTTTCTGAATTTTCACACCCTGTCATGTTCTAGATGTTAAATAAACGTGATATTATGCAAATTAGATATAACTTTTATTTAAATTAATTACTAGGTTTATTAAAACCACGAAGCTTGACAAAACGCGTACTTGACATGGAATGTCATACAACGGAGTAGTCACCTTCATAGAAAAGACAATCAATACGTAATAATAATAATAACCTATTCATGACATCCCTTTTTTTCTACAAAAAAAAATGTGACTAATATTTTAAGTTCAAAAAACAAAATCATTCAGATATGTAGGGACTTTTACACTACGACCAGACCTTGAAGTTCAAGGTTGTTCTGTTTCTGATAGCCTCATATCAGTAACATTAGTATTTTCATCTTGTTTTGTGTTTTCAACAGAAGTGGGGGGTGAAAATTGTTCGTTACTTGAAGAGACTACATTTTCCCGAGTACTTTTTCTAGTTTTTGATGTACTTTGTTTATGTAACTCATCAAAATCTAGTTACAAAGCAGTTCCCAACTTTTCATGAGCAGATGCTCTATAAACATTAAAACGATTTCTTCCCAAAACATTACCACTAGAAAGTTTAGGTCTATCTGCTTTACCAACAACTTTTGGTGGCGTCATATTATTAACATTATCTTATACACAATTTCATTATTTTCAAAATCCAAAGGTTTACTATTATTTTTCAGGTCATAATAATATTTAAAATTTTCTTGCCGATCTTGAAGTTGAGATTTAACTAACTTAAGATCATTACTAGTCTCCGTCTTGAAGATTTCAGGGGTAGGTAGAAAGGCATTTAAATTTCTACCGAAAACAAGTTCACTTGGTGATTTATTGATGGTTGAATCAATTGGAGTATTCTGTACTCAATCAAAGCCATATATAAATCAGTTCAAAAGATTCTTAAAAGTTTGAACATTTCTTTCTACTATCCGGTTTGATTTAGGATACCGTAGACTAGACGTTGAATGTTTTTTCCAAGTTTTTCCGAAATCCAGAAATTTATTATTAGAAAAATGATGTGTAAATTGAGTTTCACAGTCAGAATATAAATATTTAGGAACTCCAAATCTTGCAAAATAACTTTTTAGCTGTACTATCATATGTTCCGTTGTTCCACGAGCTAATTTCCTCATTTCAATAAATTTTGAAAAATAATCTACTATAAAATGAAAAAATTTGGTTTTGAAAAAGTGAATATCCATACCAATGCTTTCCAATGGTAAATTAGGAACTTCTCGAAGCAACATTTTTCTCCTCAATGAGTTTTTTGGAATTTCAAACATGTATGGCAATTTCTAATTTTATCTTCAATTTCCTTAATCATGGAAGGGCAATATAATATACGTCTCGCTCGGTTTTTACATTTTTCCAATCCCAAATGACTTAAATGAATTAAATTTAACATTTATTTTCGCAGATTTTTTGGAACTAAAACACGAGAATCTTTAAATAGCAGATCATTAGAAACATATAGGTTATTTTTAATTGAAAAATAAAATCTTAATTCATTTGGAACTTGATTAGCATTAGGCCAACTATTTTCAATATAATTTTTTATGGTAACTAATTCTGAATCAGCCGCAGTTTCATTCTGAAATAATTTTAATTTTTGGTCAGAAAAAGGTAAATTTGACAGGTTAATATGTAACTCAATATCTTGGTCAATATCTATCATACCAATAAAATTTCTGTCAAAAGACCTTGAAAGAGCATCTGCCAGAAAAAGTTCCTTACCAGGTTTGTATTTGATAATAATATCATATTGCTGTAGACGCAAACGCAATCTTTGGAGTCTTAATGGTGTCTCACTTGATGTTTTTTTGAAAATTTGTTCTAGTGGCTTGTGATCACCTTCAACATTTACTGTTTTACCGAATATATATTAGTGAAAGCGCTCACAACCATGGCATATCGTCAATAGTTCCATTTCATTTTGAGCCCACATTTTTTGATTAGCTGTAAATTTTTTTGAAGCATATGCTACTGGTAGGTTATCTTGTAGAATAACAGCACCTAATCCTGCACTACTACTATCTACTGATAAAACTAAAGGTTTTTCTATGTCAAAATAGGAGCTTTATGTGAAATTTCTTTTAGTTTTGAAAAATCACTAGTATGATTTTCAGTCCATGAAAATTCAACGTTTTCCTTTAAGAGTTGTCTCATTAAGTCAGTAATTTGAGAAACATTAGGCAGAAATTTTGAAATATAAGTTATCATAGGTACCTAAAATGGTCTGTAATTCTTTTTTATTTTTTGGTACCTCAAGATCCGGAATAGCTTGCACTTTGTCATTATCGGGTTTCAATCCTTCCGCACTCAAAACATGTCCCAAATATTTCACCTCTCTTACTCCAAACTTGCAATTGCTTTTGTTAAACTTCACATTAGCAATTCTTGCTCTGTCAAGTACTTCAATCAATTTCTTTAAATGATCTTCTACACTTTCACTTTAGATTAAAATGTCATCTAGATTAAACTTGTACGTCTCCAAAAATCTTAACAAAAGTTCGTTGGAATACTTCAGGTGCTGAACAAAGGCCAAATGGCATTCTCTTATAATAATATCTGCCAAATTTACCCTCATTAAATGTTGTTAAAAGTTGACTACGGTTATCCAGCTTAATTTGGTAGAATCCTGTATTCGCATCATGGGTTGTAAATATTTTCAATCTTCCCATCGTTGATACCACTTTTTCAAAAGTTGGTAAATCATATCGTTCACGAATAATATTTTTATTCAAATTTTTGGGGATCCAAACAAATTCTTGAAAAATTATCAGGTTTTTTTTACTACTACCATAGAATTCACCCATTCTGTAGGTTGACTGATTTTTTTAATGATTTCCATTTTCTCCATTTTGTCTAGTTCTTCCTCAAGTTTATCTTGTGTATTCCCAGTGGTATTTTTCTGGATGCTTGAACTACTGGCTGTGCATCTGGTTTAATATTCATTTTGTGAGTAACATTTTTTATTTCTTCAACACTTTCAAACAAGTCTATATTCTATTTTCACATTTTTCATTTGTTGTAGAAGAAAAATGATTCTCGAACACATTTAGTACTTCCTTCCAGTCTTTTTTTAGAGCAGCAGTAATATCTAAAGTTTTATATATATCATGTGCTTCTGTTCCAATCGTCTGAAGTAAATTTGCCACTTTTCTCTCACTAGTTATGTCCGCATTTGAGGGTATACCTGAAGCCTCCATGTATATTTCGAATCTTTGTTTCCATTTCTTGAAGTTTATGGATACATCTCCTTCAAGGCTTAGTTCACCAGGAATTTTTAAACCTTCCATTTTGACACAGTTTTCACAAGGTTCCAGTTTTTTTTTTAACCAATCACAGTTTCACGCAGCGCCATGTCATGTTTTAGATGTTAAATAAACATGATAATATGCAAATTAAATATAACTTTTATTTAAATTAATTACTAGGTTCATTAAAACCACGAAGCTTGACAAAACGCGTACTTGACATGGAATATCATACAACACAGTTGTCACCTTCATAGAGAGGACAATCAATACATAATAATAATAATATTAACCTATTCATGACACACCCCGATATTTTATGCAATTTAATTAATTTTTTTAAAATTCAGTGGCTCTTTTGCCATTCTGTACTTATCAATCTATTGACCCAGCCCTAATAATTATTCGCTGAGCAAACTGAGCATATTTTATTATGGGCCTCCTGTTAAATTGTTAACAAAAGGGTCTACAAAGCTCATGATGACTCTGCCAATTCTAGACTTTTATATTTATTGTATTACCAATACATAACGACAACTTTGTATCTTACTTAGCGAATACTCCGTTCGTTTTATAGCCAATTGGAAGGCACGAGCATAATTTGTCTTTTATATCTCTGTGCCTCGTTTCCCGCATCTTATAATTGGTCCGTGAATTACAATTTGAGCTGTGGAAAACCTGAAAGAATAAAAGTCAGTGATATGTCAAGTGTAATCCTAAGCGGGAACTTTCCGCACAATAAAATAGAAAATATCTAAAATGTGAAGAAACCTCTAAACAAAGGAAAGCACTTTTGTCAAGACAGTGAGGATTTATGTGTCTCCAAAGAGGCTTGTTGTTACATATTCAGCTGGTAGTAGATATAAAAAAAATCAGACTCAATTTTTCCAGGAACTAAGTCTAAAAATTAATGCGTGATTTCTTTTCGAAAACTAAAACTCCCTCATTAGCGTCAGGGTTTTATCGAAAACACATTACGTCTAATATTTTTCCCTTCGCAGGAAATCGCTTTTCATAGAAACGCTCGGAGCGTAACAAATTTCAGCTTCGCAGCAAAAATTCCGCGAAATTCCACTGCATTATTGCCCGAAATTCAACTTCAATTAACTTGTTCACCAAATATTATTATACCCTCTCTGAGTGCTCTCTAGAGCTCAAAAATTGAGTTTACGAGAACTTTAAAACTTAATTAAACACTACCCCTAATACCTACTAGAATTTCACCACAAGAAAATTGTTTTAACGAACTTAAAAAAACTTAATTAAGCGATACCTTTAGCCTGGAAGCGTGGCCCAATTTCCGGCATTGACTTCCAGGTAAGATAGTCCTTGCGCACTTCCCTTTAACAAGGTTGTTAACCTAAAATCCAGCCAGCGGCAGCCAGCACCAAATCCTATTTGGTTGCAGCTGAAGCTGAAAGCGCAGCATTTTCCATGTACACGTGCATTTTATATTTACAAAAAAAAAATCCCTCCGGTGCCAATACTAAAATAAACTACGCGATATTAAAATTGAAATTTCAGTTTACTTTTTATTAATTGATTTTCTGTTTTGTTTAATTAATTGATCGAATGAATTTATTAAACTGAATATAGGTGAATACAAATATGTAGAAGCTATTGTTTGCATCAAGCAAATGGTAATAATTGTAACTTTTGTTTTGCAGATGTTGGCAAGAAGAAGCAAATCAAATGCGGTTATTTGCTACGTTATAAAAGTAAGTAAATTAATTTAAATTATATGTACATTTATTGAACAAGAGTTTGTGAAAATGTAGCTCCTTCTATGACAAAATTTAGACTAACGGGTCAATAGGGAACTTGCACATTAAATTAAAAATGGAATAAATAATTGATAATCGGGTCGCGCTGCCGCCACGCCATGTGCTGCTAGTATCGCCATTGTCAAATCTATCGTAAATGGCATACATAACAACATAACCATAATCTAAATCTACCTGCTCAAAGTTTGAAGTGCTCGTCACTGTCAACGGAATTTTGTTGCCGAGTGACGTCACACTAATTGGTAACGAGCGTAACTTTAAAAATTTATAAAAAATTAACGGCTGATTTTTATTGCTCGATATTTGGCATGACTATGTCTTTAGTGTAGTAGAACACATTTTTGAAATAAAAAAAAAATGTAAGTTTAATCATACCCTTGCTCTATTGTAAATTGTAGATTGCATTTGGAGACGTTACAGCTCGTTTCAACCACTCAAGCACTGCTACTTTTCCAGATATTTTGTGCGTAACTCTGCTTCTAGTTGGTGTCCTAGATTTGTAGCCTTCTCTCGAAAGAATCCAGCTTCCTGTGTATTTCAGCCTTTTGCATAAGTGAGCAGGGCATTCACAAATTAAATGTTCTGTAGTTTTTGTTCCTCGTTCGCACGAGACGTGGTTTTCCATTAGTTCACAGAAAGATTCTGGGACTTGAAAAGGTGTTAAAACGCCTTGCTTTCCGAGACGGTTTGCCTCCTCGTCCTCTATGCCCTGAGGTCGTGGCACACACATCAGGGTTATTTTGTTCTTCCTTGTCATTTGCTTAAGGATATTTTCCCCCTCCTATAACGATAATGAAAAATAATAGTATGATTTTAACGCAAAACTGTACTAAACTAAATAAAATGTAAAAGGTATAAGAAAGAATGAGAATCGAAAATAAATGGTAGCGTTCGCTCGTAATAGGTGACTTCTCCAGAACAACTGAGAATAACCCAGAGAAACTACTGCCTTCAAACATTTCCTCGTTGCTCAGTTACCCCTCCATAACACAGAATAGACCTGTCTCGCATGATTAGAAAAAGAGAGCTTAATTGTAATAAATACAAGTTAGAAAGCGATAAAAGATGATATGCGCGCGCAACTCGTAGGCTGCAGTGAAGCCAGATTGTATTGTTGCAGAACAAAATGTAGACAATACAAATCGAACACTATAACATTAAAGAAGTGATATAGTGTCAAGTGTTTTACAACGCCTTAAATCAGATAAAAGAAGAGCTTTTGGATTTACATCGTTTGCACTTTTATTTTGATAAATGTTTCATCTGGCAACATCGCTCGATGAAATTTCGAAGGAATATGTCAAGTATAATCTAACATAACCCTAAAAGAAATTGCGGTGAGTTCAAGTTATATGTAAAGTATCAGTTTGCTCTTTGTTAAATTACACGCTACAAAGAAAGAAGGAACGATTGATTCTGAACTGGCCCCTGAATAAGAATATGACGCAAGCCTGCCACAAACTTGCTTCTCATTGGACGCTCACCTGCAGCCTACAAGCGACGCGCGCAGTCCAGGTAATAGGAGATCCGTCTATTGATGTATTTAACTTCATAGGCCTTTTTGACAAAACGTGACTACCTGCACGAACAATGATATGATGTCAGACTTTAAGGGCATCTTTACAGAACATCTTGAATTTCGTTCTTAGAGTCGGCCCTTGCTACCATATTTTCCGTCCTCGGAAATTACTCGTTATACCTATTGACAAAAATGTTCAATTACCAGATGTCGATTTACGCAATGTATTGCAACATGTATAACAGACACAGGCTCTTTTGTTACATATTGATATACATTGCTCAACCGAAAAGAAGAAAAATCCTAAAGTAGCTCCACCATTCAATTTCTACGTCAGAACTCAAATGATGAAGCCCTGGACTTCTCTGTTGAAACAAACTTTCATTCATTCCTCAAATTCTACGTCAGAATTTCAAGATTGAACCGTCACCACTTTAAAAGTGCTTAGCTTGAAGTCAAGCGTGTTCTTGTCTGCAGCATACATTTTCGTTAAGCACTGTCACTCACGAGCTCTACCTCAGAACCTCCTAAATTTGAGTCTTCAAAAATAAGTATTTTGTAAACCCATCCACAGCAACTATAAGGTAACTATTTCCTTTACTACTTTTCACAAAAGGCCCCAGGTGGACAATGTGAACGGTGTGCATAGGTTACGGAACTTTTACAATGGGTTGTAATAAACCTTAATTGTCTTCCAGTAGGTACTTTATTATACGAGCACCCCAAACAACAAGTTATACCGTTGTATATACTTTCGCATTCTCGGAAACTAATAATACTCACTCATGGCTTTAAGGGTCTTGTCTGTTGCCAAATGTCCTCGCTTATTGCACTAAGATACGACGAGCCCTTTTTGGGACGTACCATCGAAAACCTCGATCAGTAACTTTATAAAGCCGCTTGTTTTTGACGCTTTAATCGTTATGTACACACTTTTCGTTGGCATCAATTGACTTTTTGGATAAAGTTTCTAGCAAAGATTCACATTGTAAAACCTGTAATTGAGCTGATAATATCCAGTTATCTTCTGAAACGTTCACTTCAAGTATATCTACAATTTCGGGTGTTTCAGCGTTTTCTTCAATTGGAATCCGGATGAGGGCATCTATATGACATCTTCGTACCTAGGCGATATTCCACAGTAAAATTGAACTCTTGGACTGCTAACCACCATCTTGCGATACGGGGAATTAAATCTCATTTCGACATAGCCGTGCGTAATGCCTTACAATCGGTAATCACTTTGAACTCAGCATCTAGAAGGTAGACTCTAAATTTTTGTAGAGAACATACTATGGCTAAAGTTTCTAGTTCGTATGAATGGTATTTCTGCTCTTCTGGCGTAGCTTGTCTTCTGAAATACATAACCGGTTTTATGTTTCCGTCTTTTTGCCACTGTAGTAAAATTCCTGCTAGGCCCCGACAAGAAGCATCTGTGTGTAGTTCGGTTTTCAATTTTGGGGTAAATATTGCAAGTATAGGCTTATTTAATAAATTCTCTTTAATAAGCTAGAACGCCTTTTCCTGTTCTTCTCCCCCAAAAAAAAAAAATAACATCCTTTTTAGTTAACATCGTCAATGGGCGTGCTATTTGGGCAAAACCTTGCACGTATTTCCTAAAATAACTGGCACGGCCTACAAATTGTCTGACTTCGTGCACATTTCTAGGTACTAGAAAATGCTCTATGGCCTTGATCTTTGCTTTACCGGGTGGTATCCCTTCAACGGTAAGTTCATGTCCCAAGTAATCCAGCTCCGTTTTGGAAAAGTAGCATTTACTTAGTTTAAATATTGCTCCATAAGTTCGAAATGCATCAAATATTTTTGTCAATGCTAAAAGGCCCGTTTCGAAGTCAGTACTGGGTATGAGTATGTCATCTAGGTAAGCAAGCGCTGTAATATGGTCTATGCTTCTTAAAATCCGATTGACAGTTCACTGGAAAACTGCAGGAGCATTTACCAATCCAAACGGCATACGCAAATATTCCTATTGCCCATCTGGAGTGACAAAGGCGGTTTTGTCCAGAGTATTTGCCGCTACCGGAATTTGATGATATCCGCTGGCCATGTCCAAAGTTGTAAAATATTTTTGACTCGACAACATCTCTAATAGGGTAATTGTCTTCAAGGCACTTGGCATTAATTGAGCGATAATCAACACACATTCGAATGTGAATCTTTCTTTTTCACCAAAACTATAGGACTTACATATGTGAATGCGACTCCTGAATTATGTACGCCATTGACCAATAAATCGTCAATCAGTACACGCACACATTGTCTTTGTTGAATAGAAAGGCGATAAGGTCTCTACGTCACTGGCAAATTGTCTTTTAGATTGGTCTCCATTTCCACACCTTTTATACACCCTAATTCATTTATATTTTGCGCAAAACAGTCTCGATGCATATTAAGTGTTTTATGCAAAATGTTTATGTTTTCTTTACCAATGTTAGGATTTACTTGTTTTTGAATATCATCCAAAGAAAATATTGTAGGTGCGTGTTTACGTACCTGTTTACGTTACTTTTACTTCGCTGTTACCTAGGTCAGGAATACAGGAAACTTCTCTTGCAACCAACTGTTCCACGTTGAAACACATTGGTTCATCTGAGGAATTGTAAATAGGCAATACACCGAAACTTGCTGAGGTAACACACTTGGTTTGCTTAATTGTCGACGTTCGACAAATACCGCCTTGGTACTTCCCGCTGTCCGGCTTACACGAAATTAGTCCAATGTGATTGGGAGGAATCACTGTAGGCTTCTTGCATACTAATTTTATTGTGACAGGAAGCTCGTCAACTTCTGGCAACAATGCCATTACCGAATTGAAAATTCTCAATTTGCCGTCTCTCAAAACCAAGGTTGCACCAGTTTTTTGTCGAAAAGTCTGTCCAATCAGAACAGACATATTTTGCAATTTTTGGGGACTAATTATGACATTTACTTGTTTCGAAAATAAACCAACATGCAATTGTACTGAATCTTCGCCTAATGCCATAGCTCGACCACCCCCATAGCCAGTAATCATAATGGAGCACGGTTGCCAGCTCAAACCAATTTTTTGATCATCGTTTTCTCGAATTTTGATAACTTCGCAACCTGTGTCAATAAATCCATATAACGGGGTGTTATTTATTGGGCAAGTGACCTCCAAACCTTGTGAAAATTGTTTTGGCAGTGTTGTATCACAAATGAAATTTTATTCAGAGATGCTTGGCTTGTTCTTATAACATTCTGCTGCTACATGTTCAAGCCTTTTACATAATGCACATTCTTTTCTATGCTGCGTGCAATTACGCTGGAAATGTCCAAACTCATTGCAGTTGTAACATTTTCTAGGTCTGGTTTTTGGTTTCTCGTGTTGGTATTGTCTCTTGTTGCCTGATTCATAATATGGTAAAACCCTTTA